CTTAAGTTCACTGAGAATCTGTAAGAGAGGTAAGATACAGGTTGTAGAATTTCCCAAACTTAGTTGACCTTTTCATGTGACACAGTAATGAGATTAATATTTTAAAACACATTTGGGAACACTGATCTAAGGCACTGGTACCATGGTATAGAGGCCAAAACAGAAGACCAAAGATGTACATGACTTGTCAAAGGTCACTTAGGTCAAATTAATTCTGGCTGGCCGTTTGTGAGTCCACCGTCTCCCCACTTCACTTCAATGCCTTTCTAACCTTTCCGCTTGTCTACTCCTTCCCTTTAAGGAAATAAAAACACAGACATATTCTCTAAAAAATGTAAAAGCTCTCTCACTGACAATTTTCTTCTTTCAATGTCAAGTAAAAGTTATGAAAAAAAGAGACTAAGACTATAAACTTTCAATCACAATGCGATGAAAGTTTTGACAATCAGCAGCTCACGTTATCCCTGTAGAAAAGACAGTCAGATGACCCTGGATTCAAAGTTGCTGGTATTGTGTAGAAAAAAGATGAAGATGATCACATTTCTGTAATATATTGTGTAGAAAAAAGATGAAGATGATCACATTTCTATAATATATGTGGCCCTATGTATCATCTTGATAGGGCTTAATAAAAACCAGTGTGTAAAAATACATGAATGAATTTAAAACTTATCAGTATTTTAACCTCTTGACCATCTGTCTCAAGAAATCAAGGCCAGAAGTTAATGTATGTAGTCTGAGATCACAACACTAAACTACTGGTACAATCCATAAAAATCACATGTCATTGTCATTTGACAAAATAAAAAAACAAAATTCTAGTGAATGATAAGTGCCAAGCAGCAGGGGAATTAAAAAATATATTATTTTGATAAAGAGAACAAATACCATGCATCTGAGCACACCATGAAAGATCAGAGAAGACTGATGTTAAAGTCATTTTATTTGAAACGCTAAGTCTTAGGGCAAAGGTGATAGGCAGGGTAATTTTTTCCTTATTATAGAATAAATGTAAAGGTCAGATGCAACAATATTGCCTGTGGTTTTAAAAGGGGGGAATAACATTCTAAGGAATCAAAAGTTTTGTTAAAAGGGTAATCTACTTAGAGACGATAAATGGATGTGTGGTAAAACTGACTGCAAGAGTGAGAGAAAATGTGTAAAACATCTTAAAAGGCTGAGAAGTGAAAAAGTAGCAAGACCTAAGTTTTCAAACAAATGTAGAAGAGGAATTAGTCTTCACCTGTCTGTCTCCAAGGGACAGAGCTGTAAATAAAGCAAGAAATGTATAGGGAAATGTATTTTGATATAATTTTAAGAAAAAACAAATCTAATGATGGCTAGTGTCTAGTGGGTAGCTTCTAGGAGGCATTAAATTCTCCATCCTTAGTGTGTTCTAGCAGAGTGAGGGACTACTTCACGTCACTTTTCTGTGGATTCTGATGTACCAATGAGTTGGAATAAGATAACATCTAAGATGGATACTTTTCAATTCTGTGTTATAATAAGTACTTGGTGGGGGAAAGGACCCAGAACATACGGTATGAGGAAATTAACAGAGTTTCATTTTAGACCAGTGTGCTTACAGAACTATGAATGAATAACATATGGGGAACTTTTCCTAAGGAGTGAGAGGAGGGAGCAGTGCAAATTGCTTTAGAAAGAAGAATAGCTATTTGGAGAAAAATATACAGTGTGGTACAGCTGGTAAATCACGGAATCTAAATTATTTGTACTTCCTTTGGGGGAGGAGAGTGGAAGAGGAGAAAGATAAAGATGATGTGAATGTAGGGTAATAAAGAGAAAAGGATGTGGAAAGGAATGACAGAAGGAGAGCATTAATAAATATTGTTGGGTTGAAGCAAGATAATTGGTCCTTTGGGGTGGCTTCCGTGATTTTTTTTTATTCTTTTCCTCAGCATTATTTTTCTTTCAGAATATTATAAAATGAATCATTTTCTTTCATTTCTAGATTTAGTTTGGCAGTTGCCTTGGAAGTACTAATTATGTTTTCCTTACATAAGAGAGGAAAGACCTATTATTGTTGAAGGTTCTTTTTTTTTTTAAATAGGCTGTAAAACTCAAAATAGTTAAAGATTATGTCTCAGCTATTTTTGAAATCATTACATGTACAATGAATATCAAGAAAATGGTAATGGAAAAATAGCATGGTGCCTGGAAAATCCTTTGACAGAATTATATAGACTTTGAGGTTTTTTATTTTTTTTAAATAAAGCTAGAAATTTAAACAGAACTTCAAGCAATCAGCAACACAACATCTAGCTTGATATTACAATAGCAGCAGTTAAAGAAATGCCAAAAGAGTTGTTTACAACCAAACTCTTACAGAACAATGAGTCAAAGGTCAAATGTATTATTATGACAGCCATTAATTTAGAATGAAAATGTCCTCTTCAGTTTTTTCAAATTTAATGCTACGTAAAAGATGGATATCATGGTGTATTTTATTCCTAACAATAAAGTTTATATTCTTGAGAGAAGTTGTTAGGTCTTATACCTCAATAATACTTTCCTGGTTCAGAAGACACAACATCATAAAAAAACAATTTTTACACCAAAGCCAAAAAAACCCAGAAAACAAAAACAAGCCACAAAACACAAAAACTAGCTAAAAAAAAATGCAGAGTGTCTCAAGAATGAAAATTGTAGTTCTCCTGCATGGTATAGGGCCTATTGCTAACAATACCATATTGCATACTGAAAATTTGCTAAGAGGGTAGATCTTAGTTAATTGTTCTCTCCACACACAGCACAAAATAATAATACGGGTGAGAGGAAACTTTGGGAAGTGATGAATATATTTATGGCCTTGATAATGGTGATGGTTTCTTGGGTATATACTTAATACCCAAACCCATGGACCATACTACAATAAAATGGTTAAAAAGAAAGAAAGAAAAAGAAGAAGAAAGAAAGAAAGAAAATAAGGTGGTAAAGAAGCCCAAACTCTTCACTGCTATTTTGACTGAAGTCATTAATGCCATATTTTTTGCCATCCAGTTTGATCATACATTTTCTCCTGACAGAGTTCCTTTCTGAGTAGTGGTTATTGCCTGAGACATGGTACGTGTTCATCATATTATTTGTTAAGTAAAGGAATTAATGAATGAATGAATGATAACTAAATAAAATGAATAAAGAATTGACTGACAAATTCTAGGAAACAAATGAAAGATCATGCTTGGTGCTTATAAGCCTGAGTGCTTGGATTTGAAATCCAGTTCTGTCCATTGTTAACTATAGCACTATGGTCAAGTTAATAAAACTCTCTATACTTCAGTTCCTTTTTGCTTATATAAAACAGGTTGTTGAGAGAAATAAATTCATTACAAAAAAGCACTTTTAAAAGTACATGGAACATAGCAAATGTCAAATAAATATTAGTTATCAAGATTATTATAAAGGTTTATTCAGTTAATTCAATACCAAGGTCATTGACAACTATGAAAGTAGACCAATGGGACTAAGGACAAGCTGTCTAAAGCCCAGAGAAGTGGGCACAATGTACTCTGAGGTTCAACCTCTGAAGCTTGCACATGTCACAGAAATTACTATCCTGTTGAGAATATAAATTGATCTTTTCCAAACACTTCTCACTCGTGTTGGATATAATGGCTCCTTGCAGACATTAGAGGCCATGTTTTACAAGGGCAGACATGTGATTAGATATGGATATACTTCTCTTGAGAGCTCTCTTCTATTAATTTTCAGTATTTGATTATTATCCTGAAGGTTTGGTATAAAACAGTAAATAGAGATAAAGTAGTTTTATTAAGTGCAATCCCAAATTTGTACTGCTTATGTGCTGCCTTAATTTTGCTTTAGTTTATCCTAGAACTCCATGGCTTGGGAATGGCAGCTATGTTCTGGTGTTAGTCATTGCTCAGGGTTCCTGAAGCATGTAGGCAGCTGGTAAATAAAAGAGCTGTAACCCTGTCGGATGGGGGTGGAAGAAGGGATCCATTTACACATGTGACAGAACTCAGGTTATGAATTCTGGGAAATCAGGGACTGTTTACACTGTCTACACTGGTTGAACAAAGGACCACAGGGAGACATAGAAATGTACATATCAATAAACCAGATAGTGAAGTTCCCTTTCTTATATACAAAGCCCACCTCCCTAGCAGTAGGGATGCAACACTCTCTCAGGCTGGGCTAATAGGTTATATTAGAAAAATAACAATCTGTGTCTTGTTGTATCTGTGAAAACTAGTGAAAATTCAGATTTTCTTTAAAATGTCAACAAAGCAGATACAATTGTACATGTACTTTTGAAATCTCCCACCACAAAATCTGCTCTCCCTTCTTTTCCATTTCTGCCAGTGATCACTGTTATGAACTGAATGTGGCCATTCCCTCAAATTCATGGCTGACGTTCTAACCCCCAATATGCCTATACTTGCAGAGTCTTTTTTTTTTAATTTTATTTATTTATTTGACAGAGAGAGACACGGTGAGATAGGGAACACAAGCAGGGGGAGTGGAGAGGGAGAAGCAGGCTTCCCGCCAAGCAGGGAGCCTGATGCAGGGCTCAATTCCAGGACCCTGGGACCATAACCTGAGCCGAAGGCAGACGCTTAACAACTGAGCCACCCACGCGCCCCTTGCAGAGTCTTTAGGAGGTAATTAAAGTTATTAATTAAATGAGTTAAGGGTGAAGCCCTAATCTGATAGGACTGGTGGCCTCATAGGAAGAGAAAGATCTCTGTCTCAGCCCAAGCACAGGGGAAAGGCCATGTGAGGACACAACAAGAAGATGGTTGTGAGCCAGGAAGAGAGATCTCACCAGGAACTGAATGGGCCAGAACCTTGACCCTGAACTTCCCAGCCTCCAGAACTCTGAGAAAATAAATTTTTTGTTGTGTAAACCACCTAGTCTATGGTATTTTGTTATGACAGCCGGAACTATGACAGTCATACACTGGGAAACAAGAGCTTTATAAATACAAATGTAGTTTTGCATGAATCACACTTACCATTAGCAGTCTGTCTCCTACTTGCAACCTTCCATCTTTTTGTGCAGCTCCTCCATCTATAATTTTAGTTACATAAATGCTGTTGTCTCCAGGAATATGCTGGTTCCCCACACCTCCTGCAATACTGAAGCCCAAACCTATGGGAAAGAAAAAGAAAAGCTTTTTTTTTTTTTAAAGAAAATGTCATTAGCCATATTTAAACAGTCTAAAAAAATTAATCCTTGATTTATTACAATGGTAATAATTAACAGTAAGGATTCTACTTCAATCGCTTTTGTTCTTTAAATATTTGAAGATTTGTTGATTAATGCTAATGAGGCAAAGCTCTTGAAGTCAAGCCCGTGTGGTCATTAGTTTTGTTCTATTTCAAGACTGTACACCTAACTGTTGCTCCCTAGCTAATTAGCAGATAATGGGTGACTGGCCAGAATAGGGATCAGGCAAAAGGATGTGGAAGAATCCTCGGTGAGGCAGACAAAGCACAAGTATAGTCCTGCTCATGTGGAGTTGATGAGCTCATCTTTGTTGTTCTTCTAGCACAGAGAAGTATTGCCAATCATTTGGGTAGAGACCTAGACACTTTTGACATCTCAGGATTAAAAGTACAGCTGTTAGAAAATTCCAGAAATTCTCAGACAAGAGCCACGAGGAAGATACATGAGATATTTATATAATAATTTCAGAGAGAAGATAAGGCAAAAAGAAGCTAGATGCTTATCCTTCTTGTTTTCTTTTCTGGCCACCTTGTCATATTTTCATACTTCTTGGCACTTATTAACTGCTAGTGAGGCTAGTAATACACAAGAAATGAATCATCCCTGTACACAGTCTAAAGACACAAGAAATAGATTCTATATTTTACCTTTATTATTTTTATAACAAGTCATGGAATATCAAATCATTTTAAACATGGCAATTTTCTATTTTGAGAGATAAATTTATACTGTACTATAGCTTACAAAACTTTTATTTATATTAAACTATGGAATGGTAAGAATAATTAAAAACCATATGGGGCCACTTTCAAAGAATGAGTGATAGACTCTTTAAAGTGTAAAAAATAAAAAAAATCTTTCCAGAATATGATTGAATACACATTCAATATAATACTTGTAGGCTATATATTCATTGCATTTCAAAATTATAATTACCATGCAAATTACTCAGAAAAATAAATATAAATCAAAGAATTTGTACTAAAGGCAGAGGAAATTTCTATGACTTACTTGGCTTAAGAAATTTTTTTTAAACAAACCGTACACTAAGTTATGTAGTAGTACTTTTTTTTTAAAACCACATACCTGTTTTATGATGAAATCATTAAAATTTTTGGCACTTTATATGACAATGAAAAACACTTAAAAAAACTCCACTATGCTTTTATTGATTAAATATTGAATAGGGCTCTTAATGGCATAAGTGATTAGATAATGGAAAAATAATGGCATAGTAAATTATAAAGTTACACCTCTGAAATTACATTTGAAATAATTTTTTTGTTAAATTAACTATAATAGTTGTTAAAATGAATGGAAAATGGATTTAAATTGCTAGGACAGTTAAAATAATTGTTATTTAATATCCTACTAAAGTGGGTAATTATTCTTTATTGATGCTTTGACATCCCATAGATTTATAAATGTATTTGTTTGCCTCAGATTTAAAGAATTTGTTTATCGAGCAAAAGGTCACTAAGAGTAAATAAAATGCTCCCAATTGGCTTTTCCTTTGAAATTTATAATGCGTGTCAGCTCATGTTTTTCAAAACTGTTATTTTACATGTATATATGATTATAGGGGAATTAAAAAAATACATTTACAAAAGTTTCATACCCACATGCTAGGATCAATCTACTGCATTTATAATAGTATAGAAGTCATTCCAAACTGTGGAAAGAAAAGGTTAAAACAAATCCAGGGACTCTGATTTACATCCACTGTAATAATAGTAAATGCCATAGACTCACTGAGTTACAGAAGAGATAAGAAACAAATTACCGCTGTAAATAAGGTTAAGTCCAACAAAGGGAATAACTATGTAGTTGACATTTGAAGTTGAAGATTGTACCAAGACAATGGAATCACTATACTATAGACATAAATATATCAGCTAAAAAGGAAATAATTTTTTCCCCTGAGATTAGGTTTTTAAATACTTCTTTTTAACTAGTGACTCTGCTCAAGGTGAAACAAGCTGTTTTTAGTAAGAACACTCTGAGGTTACAGAATTGAAAATTGTCCCTGATTTCGCTTACTTTGAAGAAACATGGATACACTGAAAAATAATCAGCATTTAATCAACACTCAGCCATATTGCAGATGTTTAATTTGACATAAGTAAATATGTAGCTTATGTCTACAGCCAGAACACAAATTTATTTACAGGTGGGAGTATCCATCTGTGTTGTAAGACTAAATCTGTCCTCATTCATTCATTTACCAATTCACTCATGTATCCATCTATTCAACAAACATCTCTTGAGTACCTACGATGAATCATATAAGCAGTTGCTGTCAACTGTGGTCAATATCATGTAAAAGAAGGGATTGGCCAACACTACAGAAATGAGTGAGTGTGGCTGAACATGGCTGATGCAATGTTTGCATTGCATTGTTTGCAATGCACTAAGCCCAGATAGTGCCATTGATTTTTGGAGAACTACTCAATGAAGACAAATGTGGGCCAGGACCACGGGGCAATCCAAAATTATCAGTTTGGAGGCACCAGGGATTCCTTGCATATACTTTGTTAAAGCAGGGGCAGGCTGCCTACATTATAGGACCACTCTATCCCCTTATTAGGTAACATTCCCAGTCTTCATTCCATTCGAGACACAGTTGCAGTCTTGATACTTCTAGAACACAGTGGACATACTCCCACCTTAGAGCATTTGATCTACCTGTTTCCTCTACCTGGAATATACGTCCTTCAGGTTTTTGTTCAAATCTTAATTTCTCTAAGAGCCTGAATCTGACTTCCTATTTAATACTGTCTCCTAACCATACACCCCACTTCCTTATCCTGATCTACTTTTCATTTTACCTTAGCACTTATCACCTTGTAACACATAAGTCACTCATGTATTTTATTTTTTTTATTGTCTGTCTTCTTGAAGAAAATAGGAAGTCCACGACACCAGGGATTTCTGTCATTTTATACTGCGCAATAGAATAAGGCCAGTTATATAGTGACCTCCTAATTATTAAAAGGACGAATGAACAATGAATGAACAAATGAATATAAAAGGATGAAGAAAGTCACAGATCTCTGAAAAAGCCTCTTCTTAAAGAGGAAGCTTGCAGCTTTAATGAATGAGGGACAGCTGAAAAAGTGAGCACTGTTAGTTGGAGGGGCTAACTGGATGAGGTTATTACTTGCCTCAGGTCAATTCTGATCTCTGTCCTCAGTCCGCACAGAGCTTATGCCAACCACTGGGCAGGCAATGGGCAACAGCAGACTCAGCTTCACACCCTGATTCTTCCATCTACTAACTGTGTCAAATGGAGCCGTAATCATCTCATCTGTGATAAGGGAATACGTATATCCATGTTCTATCGGAATTAGCACATACCAGATGCTGAAATTCTCTGCTCTCAACAAGGTCTCAAGCTGTCTTGAGAAACCGATACCTAAACTCCTTGACATGATTTAACCGGCTAGAATGAGTTCTGTAATGGTACTAGTGTTATATGAGCCCAGAGGGGAGCGGACTTACTCAGTGGAGGAGAAGAATCAACAAAAGGTTTAGCATTTGGGCTGAGTCTTGAAGGTTAAGCTAGACTCGATAACAGAGAACGCACCTTTCAAACCAATACATCCTCTGGATTCCAGGTGACTTAATGACTGAAGAGTCAGCTGCCCTGACTTACATTACACAATGCTCATAAAATCCCAGTTTTAGCGGGCTGGAAATTCAGACAGAAATGCCTGGCAAACACTCAAAACATGTACTTATGATAAGCTAGAATGGTCCCTAATAGGATAAATACAATGAGTCTGACGAAGATTTAAAAGTAAGAAGCCTTACAAATAGCAAAAACACTGCTTTTATGGAAGTGACCAATTTAGAGAAATGATCATCATTTTGAAGTGTCTATGAATAAGAAATGGTCCCATCAGGCTCTCCGCCCCCTCCCCCCCAAACTCAGCTCAGCTGGGAGTCTGTTTATCCCTCTCCCTCTGCCCCTCCTCCCCTCGTGCTCTCTTGCCTCACCCACTCTCTTGCTCTCTCTCAAATAAATAAATCTTAAAAAAAAAAAAGAAAAAGAAAAAGAAAAAAAATGGCCCGGGGCGGGGGTGGGTGGGGGAAGAAATGGCTCTGGACCATCAGGTGATGGCAGACTAATCAATTATAAAACAGTGAAAAGAGTTGGTGGGTCTCAGCAAAAACATGGACCCTAACACTATCTACTGTGGAATGTTTGGCTATTAAGAATAGTCCTAAACATGTCTATGCATGTACCAGCGATAAACAAAGCTGACACAGAAAAATATAAATACTAAAATCACAAAGGGGAGTAAAATCAGCAGATATTTCAGTATCCTAGTAAAGAAAAAAAACAGGTGAAATTTAAACACCTAATTCTTGAAGCAATGAACAACTTCTGTGTTGACAAACATGGGATGTGCAAACAGAATTTCAGGATTACATCTATTGCATAAAGCTGGGTTCCTCTTTCCATATTTCTTGCATATCCCCAAATTTAAATTTCTCAGGTTGAGACAGGACATGCAGGCATAGGGAAAGGAATGTCTGAACCTTGTTAAAACCTTTAACTTAAGCTTTTCCCACACAAAACCTTTTCTTCATCCTATAAAATAGAACAGGAGGAGGAACAGATCACAGTTCACCCTTTTCGCTTGTTGTCTGCCTACAATGAGGAGCAGGTGTTACTGAGAGGTGGGGAACTAAAAGCAAAAATCTTGGCAGCATAGATTGATATTGTGCTTGAGAAGCTCAGAATAAAAACTCAAATGCTTAAAAGAATCGTATGATTACAATGTTCCCATATATTCTTTGTGGGTATAAAGAACGAAGCCCCATGATGTCTTATAACCATTCAATAACTTGGTTCAATTTCATTTTGTGTGACTTTACTAGAACACTCTTGGGGCCTCACCAAACAATTCACTATT